CTATTAAACTTCATTTTTCAAAGATTCCTCTATCATTTTTAGCCTGCTGAAATATTTTAGGATCTTGATTTGGTCATCTAACATATTAACTATCCTTTTCAGCTTTGTATCATCTTCAAATTTGATAAGAATTGACAGGGTCTGCTTCCAAGTCACTGATAAAAATTTTACAAAGGACAGGACCAAGGACAGAGCTGTGTGGCATGTCACTGGAAACTTTCCCACAGGTTGACATTGATCCATTCATCAAAACTTTTTGGGTATGATTGTCAATTAATTAGGAATGAACCCACATTTTTTTGGTCTTTTCAACAACAGTATAAAATATTCTGTAAAATGTCTTTGCTGAAATCAAGACAGACTATGTAAATAACATTCTCTTGATAGACAAAACTAGTAAGGTTGTCAAAATGAAAAAGACATTGGTTTGGCATGATTTGTTCTAGGTAACCCATTCATATGAAACATTTTCTATCTCACCTTCTTTTAATCAGATTATTTTAGATCAAAGTGTTCAGTTTACATATCTGACTTTTGGTGAAACTTCTTTACTGTTCATATCCCACTGTAAAATCCATGTATTCTCAGTACCCTATCCACAAGAACAATAAAGAATCAATAATACCCAAACCTGAACTATAGCTCTGGTACAATACTATTCATTAAAGATAACTAAACTTTGCTTTTGATCAGATAAGTCTCGGAGCTGCCAAAATTCGTGACCGTATTAGTGAACTCTTTTGTGCTAATACCACTGCTGAACTAAGACATTCCTCTACCCAGTAGAAGGTACCTAGAAGTAGGGATGCTATCAGTGCCTTGGGTCAGTATATTATTATCTACCCACACTCCTCCCCTTCCTCACATCTCAATTCTGCTTCTATGAAATATGAATTAGACAGGAATATACTTGTATGCTGAACTCTACCCTGACCCTGGGAGAACTTTCCCACCTTGAGAATATATTGTGTTCTCTTGATCCCAAATGAAAGGATCTTTTGGTTAGGGGAGATGATAATATTACCTCAATAGACACAAGTCTCCTTTCATTTTACCCTACTAGGCAAAAATATCCCCTTCTGATGCCTGATCTACTTGATAAAAATTGTCACTTCTCAAGAGAGCCCTGAGAGAATAACTTATGCCTGTGAAAATAACTCTACCTGTTACCTTTTGACTTTGCCCCAACCCCCGTTTTACCAATTCTCCAAGATCCTCTGATTCCAAATTAATCTGCCATAGTGTAGATGAAAGAATCCTGGATTTGGAGTCAGAAAACCTCAGTTAGAATTCTATCTCTGCTCCTTACTACCTGTATAACTCTTAGGCTAGTCCCATTATCTCTTTTGGACTCAGTTTCTCCATTTGTTTAAAAAATGGTATTTGGACTGGATGAGTTCTAAGGTCCCTCCTAGCTGGATGTCTATGATTTTATTAGTTCTTAGCCTCATTTCCCGCCTTGACCTTACTAAGTTTGCTTTCTTTGGTGAGTCTTGACCCAAGTCCACATTCCAAACTGGTCTTCAGATCATATCTTCCCAGTTTCACTTAATAAGTCATAGTATCTGCTGGGCTCCCCAGTACCATAACTGCTAGCCAGATAAAACTTGTCTACCTTTGAACTATGTGCCAAAGTCTTAGGATTCATCTTAACCAAACAGCCTGTAGTTGAACAACTGCTGAGTATTCTTAAAGATGCACGCACATAAAGAATGTCATCACTATTAACAATAGCATGAATCACAACCTTAGTCTACTCTTCTGTGTTTGTTTCAAGGCAAACAATGGAAACGTTTCCCCAAAATTTCTAAGAACTGACTACAAGTTGTGGGAAACTCTGTGAATTGTAGGAACTCATGACATTAGCAACAATGAAAATCAGATGATATTAAAAGTTTAATTGTAAGGGATTTCACCGTAATCATTTCTCTGTCATATTTCATTCTTTGCAAAAGAGACTCACTGGACATTTTTCTTCATGTACGAAAAAACTATGAAGCAGAGATTTGTTTATACTAGTGCCTAATTTATAGATAGCAAAGTCATGTCTAGTCATACTCTTCAACTGTGGGAAATGATTCCAATATAATTATAGATTTTCACGTTTGATCTTTATAAAGAGGCACTGGATATTCATCTATAGAACTGATTAGTAAACAACATCTGCTTTAGTGCGTTAAGCTAGCAATGGGAGAAATAAAAAGATGTTGTTTGAGGTTTTATTGTAATGTTCTTGGTGGTATTTTGCAGCAAGCCCTTAAGAAGGTCGAATACAAAATTGTTGCTGTTCAAAATTTATTTCCCTCCTTACCAAAGGTACACAGCACTTCTTTTGTGCAATGTTGCTCATCAGTGCTGAGCTGTTGTTGCTCAATTTTCAGACCAAAAAAAATCAACAATGTAGCATCTGCTTTGGGGTGGGGGGGGAACTTACAGAGAGAATTATATAATATCTGAATAAAACAGCAAAAGGAAGGTCATATCTAGGTGCTTTTAACTTAACTGTATTCCGTTCAATAGGATGGAATTTTACATCTAGAGAGGACTTTAGGGATCATTGAGTCATTTTATAGGTAAGGAAACTGAGGCCCGGAGTGTTTTAAGTGAAAAATAGTAATAGCTAACATTTATATATTTATATGTGTATACAGTGCTTTAGTCTGCAAAACACTCCATGTTATCCCCTTTGATACTCTCAACAAACCTGAGGTAGGTGCCATTATTATTCTGGTTTTACAAATGAGGAACCAAGTGCTAAAGTGACTTGTCTATGGTCATTCAGCTAATTAAGTATCTGAGGCATGATCAATCAATCAATCAGCAAGCAAATAAGCATTTATTAAGTGCCGACTATATGCCAGACACTGTGCTGACATAGACCTTGGGTCTTTCTGATTTTAAGTCCATCACTCTACTCTCATAGCTCAGTCAAGCCTAGAACCTGTGTCTCCATTTGGCATTGATATCTTTATTTAATTTCATTAGGATTTCATATGAGGAGGACCACTGTGTTATACATCCAGAAAAAGGTATTATCTTCTTCCCTAGGTGTCTTTCCTTGACAAAGGAGACTTAGAAAAATGCCCTCAGATGAGAACCTTAATCAAGTCAGGTGACATCTTCCTCACTAGTCAATACCTCTACAATGTGAACAGCTCAGGTCATTCCATCAATTCTTTCCTATTCTCAAAAGACAGACAGAAAATAGTGTTTTCTTCAGTACATGGAGATTTGCAGACTCAGAAACATGAAGACAAAACACAGTAACCAGTATCTGCCAGTACCTAAGTTTCTTAGCCAGAGACCAGATACAGAAACGCCAGCAGGACTGAATGACAAAGGTATACCCAAAACTATATGGGCAGGTTTCCTAGTGCATAAGATCCTCACTAAGCATTATAGCTGTGGTATCAGTTCCCCATTCTCAATAACTTTTGGGAAAAGATTGGGAATTGGGGAGGAGGTTCCCATAGCAGATCCCCGCACTAGACCCTTCCTTGATGTTGGCTAATAGATACCTACCCGCTTTGGGGTAGTGCAATAACTGTTACTGCATCATAAGTCTAACAGTGATGCTCACAAGGCTTCTTCTCACTTACCACATAAATGTGTCCTGGCCCATCACCCAGAGAATTTGGTCTGTTCTCATAGAATGGCCAATGATCCTTGATTCTCTAATCTCTGATAGATGAAGGGAAAGGAAGGTGGGAGGCAGGGAGTATCTGAAGAGATGGCTTCTAGGAGAAGGTGTAGTGGAGGTCTGGGAAAGGTGATGGACTGAGATGCCACCATGTGCAGAAGTATTATACAAAACCAGAGGACTACCATGGGGAAGAAACATTCCTTCTCATGTCTGTGCAGTAGCACACATATCCAGGTACTCCAGCCCAGTTATGGCTCTGGTGATAGACAATGCCACTGAAAGCTGTGAGCTCTGAGCACAGTTTCTGGATGAGGGTGGGGTTAATTATATTTTTCTCTAGACCTGCACTCTTGAGCTTCTTTGGGCATTTTTGACATGTGTGGAACTGCCTTTGCTGTACAAATTCTGACTTTATGAATTCCATTTACTTTAATGCTGTGTATAATCTGTCCTTGATTTACCAGTGTCCCTTATTTGTCCTTAATCCTCCACCCACTCTCAGTGCATTTGTTATTAGGTGTGATGGAAAGTCACTAAGATACCTCTTCTACCAGCTTTTCCTTTGTGTCTCCCACTCCTCTCCAGTTCCAATCATCAGGAGCAGAGAAAGAGGAGGGAAGCTAGTCAAATCTTGTTGTCTTACCAGCTATATTTAGTCACTACTGAGAAGGAAAAAAGAGGGAGGAAAAATCTGTTTGCTACTCCTCACTCTTGCTCCGCAGTACTTATTTCTTCTTCCCTGCCCTAAGAGCCCAGGAATCCTCCTTGTCCTTTAATCATCAATCCCAAATATTCTCTGCCCAACTCTTCATATCTCCTCCCTTCGCTAGGCCTCATTTTGCTCCTCACTCCAGGATCTCTCCTCTGCTCTTCACCAGCTCTGGCTCCTGCCTTCATTGCACCCTTGCTCCAGACCATTAATGAATTGGATGGGGGAAGGCAGACTCTGTACTACCTCTATTGTTGTCAAGGCTTCAACCGGGGCACACATGCCAAGTTCAGACTGAATTAATTTTTTATAGAAACATTATTCTATACAATAGGGAGGTCCCAGGCCAAGCCATTCCACAAAAGTTTACCTAATCCAAAATAACTTTCAATATAGAGAAAATTTTCCCAAAATCAACTTTTTTACTATTTTTGCTCTTTTGCCATCTGGTATCTCTAAACATCATTTCTGACCCTTATCTGCATGTTTTCCTCTCCATAAAATATACTTTCATCATAATTCACAGATATACCATTGTTTTACAAGTACAACTTTCTCTACATTACCCCATTCACTCCAGAACAGGGCTGATACTCTGATACCTTCCACAATCAGATTCTAATAATTAAGCTGATATTTTAGACTTACCTCCTCTATGGATAATCAAAGAAGTCTCACTTCCAATGGGACACTCCTTCAGTATATCCACAACTTCTGTATGGCTCAGGTTCTGTACATTCTGTTGGTTGATCTCAATGATGAGGTCACCTTCACATAAGCCAGGGCATCCCTGAATGTCTAGAATTTGCTTCACCCTCTGTCCCGTAGGACTGTCTGCAATTGTGAAGCCAAAGCCCTGGGCACCTTTCACAATGGTCAAGGTCATGAGTTCAGCTTGGGTAGCTCCTGAAGAAGCCATTGACACATTATCATCATGAATGGGAGGCGGAAATGTGCCGTCAAGTTGACCATCAGCTGGGATGGAGTGCAAAGAATGAGGAGGTCGATCTGTTACATCTGGAACAGATTGGGAGGTCCTAGAAATGTATTCCAAATAAGTTTCATAGTTATGTCTTCCATTGACCACTACAGGGGGTCTCTCCATTACTGCAAGAGGTGGCACCATGTTGTTAACAGGATCTTCGGGGTCAAAGGGCAAAGGGTACCCACGACACAACACCAGGTTGACACTTTGACCAATAGGAACAGACTGGAAAAGTTTGACTACATCTGCATGAGTATGTCCGAGGACACAAACTTCATTAATATAGACAATGACATCACCTACAAAAAAAAAAGAGAGAAAAGATTGACACCATGAGATAAAGTCAATTAATGCTGACACAAAGCAATGGAATTTTTTATGAGACTAATCAAGGCATTTCTTAGTACCCCCAGTAACCTGCAAGAAAATCAATGAGAATAATATTGAAATTCACTGGAAGAAACTCAGGGTTATGATTGGCCTGATAACAAATGTAATAATTGAATTCAGAATAACTGTTATGTGTTTAGGCTTGAAGTTCATTAATAATTTCATATTTAAAAAGAAAAAGGTTCAAGGCAGTGAACCTCTGTATGTAAAAACTCTTCAGTTCTCTGTGCTTTTTACTCATCATTGCATGCAATCCATTTATGAAAATTTTCAGATTCTTTGCAAGTTGGGTTCATGTATTTTAGTTGATAGGTGACAGTGTGTAACAGTTACCTGGATAAACACGCCAAACAAACCTTTTAAGAATCATGCTTTCATTTTCTTTTTCTAGGAGATTTTGCATAAATTTCTTTTCTGGGTTGTACTTGGTACATTCAAGTCCAGGGAAAGAAAACAAATCAGACATTTTGGCTCCAACTCTGCTACAGATTGGCCTTGGGATCTTAGGTAAGCATCTCCCATGTGCCACTTTCCAAAATTTATGAAATAGCACGATTTTTTTGAATGATCTCTTTTAATTAAACACCACATGTATGTAGGTAGCAAAGATTATAGGGATAGGAACAAGGATTGGACTTGTGTTTTCTATGGTATAGGAAGCTCCTGATGAGAAAGAGCTTCCACCAATGAAGGTCAGCATTTCTCTGCCACTTATAGTATTAGAGTAGCTGCTCTAAACCTTTATTGTGTCATGGACCCATTTGGCACTCTGGTAAAAACTGTGGACCCCTACCCAGGATGATGTTTTTAAATGCATGAAATACATAGGATTATGAAGTAAATCAACTTCATAAAAATCTAGTGATCAAAATACTAAAAAATCCCGGAAATTCACAAATTCAAAATTAAGAATGCCTAAGAGAGTTACTTGGGGACAGTGAATGGCTAAGTTACTGGTCTAGGATCACACTTAACCCAGGTCTCCCTGGCTCTAAGGCCAGTTCTATCCATTATGACACACTGTCTCTTTTTGCATAGATTAATGGCTACAAAATAGTTCTAAAATATTTTTAATCCAATTAAATGGAACAGATTATAATGAAATATATTCAGAAAATATCTTTCCCACCTAAAATCTACATGAAAAATATGATTGTACACTCACACTCATTCACATACATACTACAATTTCAGGGTTGGGTTAAAGGCCTGGTTCCCTAATTTTTGAGAACTGATTATGAAAACTGAGGTTGTCTGAACATTATGAAGGGTACATGAGGGAAGAAAAATTTGTTTTCAAAGACTGTCAAATGAACAAGTAGACAGCAACTTCATTAGGGTCATTTTGACAAAAGTATGTTTTCAAGGGGAGAGTGGAGGAGAAGAACACAGCAATATGGATGCTTTAGGAATATAAAAAATTAAGTGGTTAGTACATGATTAAACTCTCCAATAACCTGGCAGTACTTTATTGCATACATGAAATATTTGGACAGCTAAGTAATGATTCAGCCCCAAATTTTTCTTGGATGGAGAGGTATGTGAATATTTGCCAGATTTCATTGAACTATGTACTCTGGTGGAACGTTTTTATATTCTCCCTTCTGAATGGTGGTGCAGAGAATTAGTAGACAATGCTAAGTTCAAATCCAGCCTCAGACACTTACAAGCTGTAAGACCCTGGGCAAGTAACTTAACCTATATCTGCCTTAGTTTCCTCATCTGTAGAAAGGGGATAATAATAACACCTACTTCCTGGGTTTGTTGTGAGGATAAAGTGAGATAATATTTGCATAAAGCACACTGCAAACCTTAAAGTACTATGTAAATGCTAGCTATTATTGTTAAATACAAATAACATTATTTTAACCATACCAAATATATAACATGGTGGTGGCCTACATGATGTGGTCAGAGATAGACTAGGCAAGCATCCTAGAGTATTAAAAGGAGCTTTAAGAAATCTGGTTTGCCTCCCTCTTGCCCTTCATTGTGTATGTCATGTCTACCAATAGGGGCAGGAAGGGGACTTAAGGATGGTAAATGGGATTAACAGGTTTGTCTCATGTTGATTTTTGCTCTCAAGTAATCTGGAATATTTCTCAGGCATGAAGATAAAATTATACATTTTAAACAGCACATGGCTTTAACATCATTTATCCATTCCACACAATTTCATTAAGCTCCAAAAATATAAATAGAATAGGAGTAGCTAGGTGGCACAGTGGATAGAGTGCTAGGCCTAGAGTCAGGAAGATCTGAGTTCAAATCTGACTTCAGAGATTTACTAGTTAAGTGACCCTGGGCAAGTCACTTAAACCCTTTTTGCCTCAGTTTCTACATCTGTAAAATGAGCTGGAGAAGGAAACGGTAAACCACTCCAGTATTTTTGCCAAGAAAACCTTAAAAGGAGTCACAAAGAGTCAGATATGGCTGAAAAAGACTAAATAACAACAACAAAATATGAATAAAATGAACTCTAGGTACTGCAGAGAGAAGTATACTATGGTATGTCCTGGCTTTATTTAAATTGGACCCCACATAAATAGAACCACCATGTTCAACTTCCTGCCTCCTGCTTGGTACTGTCCTGGCAATGTTACTATAAGTGTGCTAGCCTACTTATGAGTGAAATAGTTAGTCTCTTGTATTCTAGCAGCTTACTGTGGCATTGAAGGGAACAGATTAAGCCTGGATAAAGTCCTAAACATGGAAAAACTCAGGAATTATTTTTCATGAAATAGGACAGAATTTTTCTCCTCTTTGTTAACTTCATCTCTTGAACAGAGACTATGTACCCCTAAATACTGTTGAATCATAGACTGTTCATGCAATATGAAAATTATACTCAATTTCCCTTTAATATCCAAGGGAAGAGAAAGGAAGGACATATATTTAGCACTTGCTACACATCAATTAATCCTCAATGTACCAAGCAGGGCCAGGTAAGGAAAAAGGTCTATTAGAGAGGCATTATGATTTAGAGGTGACAGATTACACTGGACTCAGAGGGAGGAGACCTGAGTTCAAAGGCTGATTTTGATACTTGCCACCTGTTTAACCATTGCCAACTCACTTAAAATTCCTTAAGCCTCAGTTTTCTTCTCTGTAAAATGGATAGAATAGCATTTGCTTCACAGATTGTTATGAAGAAAGTGCTTTGTAAACCTTAAGGCACTTTAGAAGTGTGAGTTGGTATTACACTGCCTAGTCCTCCTTTTTGGTGAGCCCACAAGATGGCAGAAGGAGTTATGACCTTTACTGAATTGGAAGAGCTGGTTGGCAGATGACAGAGAGAAGGAAAGCTCTGGTGAACCAAAAGGGTTCATGATTCTCACCAACTTGAAACCTATTACAATAAGATTATAAGATTAACATTGTAGAACAGGAGTAGAGCCTGGCCTTTTGCCTAGGGTTAGTTTCTTAGGGCTACACTGTTTCTAGGTCATCTTTTTCTATAGTCTTTTATCTGGCCAAGTCACATACCAAAGCAACGCTTTCTTTGTGAAGCTCCCCTTGTAGAAACAGGGACAGTCTCAGATGACAATTTTCCTGTCTGTATTTTTCTTTCTTGGACCTCCTTGACCTAGTTTCTGAGGATTTCCCTAGTCTTGCCACCCAAAATGTCCATAAGAATCCCCAGAGAAATATAACTTAATTCCAGCTTCCTTTTTGTTGTTTGAAGCATGTTTGGTACATGAATAGGAGGCTGCATATTATATTATAACTAAAACTCCTCTGGGGAAAATAGTTATTTCATCAGAACATTTGTCTCTGTGGGAGATGACCCTGGATTCTTGAAGATGATGCTAACAGAGCATAAGCTCTGGCAACTCTTACTGACCTGGAAATGCATCCCAGTGACAGACTGTCATCTAGATACTAGCCTACCTACCAAAGTACAGGGAGATTCATCAAAGAAAAGGTGGATGTCAGGTGATAAATTTTAAGACCATAGCAACTCATTAAACCATCTCCTAAGGGATGGAAGTTTAATCGGCAACCGTGTAAATTATTTCTACCTCAATGAAATGTCACATCTTTTTGAAAACTAAAGAAATTACTATAAGTGTACATATTAGACCTGCACTTTCAAACACCTATGTTTTAATGGAGACATCTGTTCATGTGTGGATTGTTAGGGGTACAGCCAAAATACACTATTGGAAATATATGAAAGTCCCCAGGGTTGATAATACAAGTGCTGCTGGAAGAATTTGAGAAAATCCTTAGATGATGAGCAATCTTCATAATAAACCAATGGCTGATTTGATCTGTGTTTTCCCCTATCCTAAGAGTCAGGGCCTAACACTTGTGTACCCCAGAGTTAGGAATTATGGGACCAAAGTGAAATCACCTGATGGGGTTATTTCTTCAATCTGTGTATAATTGCAATAAACCTTGTCTAAAACCACCTTCTTTCTACAAAAACATTCAGCATGCCAAGGTATTCCTTTTCATCCCTACTTGCCTGGCATGCCAAAAGAAAAGCATTTAATCTTTCGGCACATTTCTTATAAAAAGTTGCCAAACCCATATAGTATGTAATGTAAGGAAAAAATGATTTATGGGGTATCATTAGGGAAAGCTTCTTGGAGGATATTAACATGTATTTAATAAATCCAGCCTTAGACACTGACTAGCTGTGTGACCTGGGGCAAGTCACTTAACCCTTTTTGCCTCTTTTCCTCATCTGTAAAATGAGCTGGAGAAGGAAATAGCAAACCATTCCAGGATTTTTGCCAAAAAAACCTAAAATGGGTTCACAAAGAGTCAGATATGACTGAAACACTGAACAACAAATAAATTAGAGCATAAACTCATAAGGCTGAAACACCTCATCTAATCAAGCATTTCCCAATCAGTGAGCTACAGCACAAAACTTTGGCACCTCGTGGCACGCAGTTGC